GTTTTAACGAGGCACATTATCTATGCACATCCAAGGGGGAGTGTTATAAGAAAATTAAATTATGGTGGATGTCTACTCTTCTCCATTATCTCTGTAACTCTCAATACTCTAATAATTATAGAGTTATGATTAACTCCATAACCTCCTCCATGATATTTCTCTCAAATGCTTAATGACATGTTCAGTGACATATTTTGCAATTGTGATTCTTCACTTTTCATGCCTATATAAAGGCCTTGTAATAGATAGAAAAATACACACAATAAAAGAAGAAAATTTCTTCCTTCTCTCTATCTCTATTTCTTGTTCATGTTTTACTAAATTAATTTTATTTCATAACAACATTTCTTGTTCATGTTTTAATAAATTGCTTTAATTTCATAACAGTTATTTCCTTTTGTATTATGTTTTATGTCAAATGAAATATTAATAGCTTGGAGAATAAATCATATTAATTCACCACTGATGTTTAAGAAAAATAGTCACAACTAGATTAAAAGGTAGGCATGATGTGGAATTAAATAGTGGTCTTGTTGGTACATATACTTTAAGTCATAACAACATATCTCATCAATATCAATCATCTCCTCTAGAAAGTCAAAGAAATAAGGTAAAATGATCTGATAAATCTATCTCAAAATTGGAGCTGAGATATTTTTCTGTATCATTATTATTAGTTTGCTATGATCCTTAAATTGCACTAGTAAATCTTTACTATTTTAGTCATACAACAAAATTAATCTCATTTCCTTATTAAAAAAATATATATATATAAGGGAAAAGAAAATGGTTGCTTTATAAGATTGGATTGCCAACTATGTCAAGTTTCATATCCATACCCCGGCCGAGAAAGTAAGAGAATCATCATTTTAGTCAACGACTTCAAATCATAAACTTTGATCTAAACAAGTGTGCTTTCACTTTATGACGTGTCCGTACGAACAAGTCATTTTGTCACTTCATAAGAAAAAATAATAAATTATTACTCCGCTCACTATCTTTCCCGTTGAATTTTCAAATTCCACATATGACCAAATTTAAAAACGTTATAAGTGGTTTTCGTGGACTTTAAAAAGGTTCTTTGGCTAGATTTGTAAACTTGCGCACAGGGCCAAAACGGTAAAATTATCATGTGGCACTCACTTTTGTGTTATCCATTAAATTTGTACCAACTTTTTAAAAAAAATTAATTGATACCCAATTTTCGGATAACTTCAAATACATTTACTTCTCTCTTTTTCTTTATTGTTGTTTTCTTCTTCTTTGTGCTTAGAGTTTCTGCTTCTTAGTTGTAAAATGAGTTTGTCAAATTTGTTACTTTTTTGACAATTTGATGATTGGGATTTATTCTTATGATATTTGAAAGTTATTTTTTCAAATTTGAGCTCATTTAGAGTAGATTTGGGCATTGAATCGTGTATTGGATTGTTGAAATTCGAAAAACAAGTTTATATTTCAGAACATAAGATTCGAAATCTAAAGTTGTATTCAATAGATTGAACTACTTAATATTCGAATTTCTGAAGTTGTATTTGAAAGATATAAGAATTTTAGATTTAATTTCTGAAGTTGCATTGAAGAGATTGAACTACTTCAGATTCGAGCCGGTACATTTTGTAAAGTTTTGTGCAATACAGATATATCTTCAATGGTGATCCCAAAAGTAGGTATATATGAAAATGCCCTGCCAAAACGTGTCCCATCTGTGTCAAATATTCTCAAATTATTTGCCAATAAATTATTGATAAGTATCACTGGATTAGTTAGTTCTTTCTGTAAAAAGTAAAAAAAAAAATTACCACCAAAATTTAGAGTTTCATAATATTGATTAAAAAAAATATATAACGACAGTTTTACCACGGGAGTCCCCAACACTTTTTACTTGATCAATTGAAGCTCTTGGTCCAAAATTCCAGTGGCTCATTGGTGTGAGTTAAATAAATTCAAGAAGAATTTTCTTTATAAATTTAAAAGTAATTTCCCAATTAAAATAAATCAGGTGATCTAGCACACTTTAAAAAAAATGTTAGGTGATGACTCCATTAATTAACAACCCTTTTGAATAGCTATTTTTGGCACAGTTTTGTCAAATTTAATTTCTTCACTGAGGACTATTGCATCAATTATTGAGCATAAAGGTCTAATACGTTACCTTTTTGCTTAATATTTATCTTTCTATCCTTTCACGTTAAATGGATACATGTTACAATGTGTTATTTATTATAAATAGTATTTTATTTATGATGAGTGTCTATATTTTAGAGAAATTTTAGGAATTACTACTTGGTGGCTAAGTCACTCTTTCCCTATAAATAGAGGGGTTCTATTCCATTGTAATTGATCCCAAATCAATAAGAATTCTCTCTCTTTCTTTGCAATATTCTTTTTTATTGTTTCATAGCACGTTACCAGCATGAGATTCTAACAAATTGAATAAAGTCAAATGCTTTGGTCAACAACAAATTGAATAGAGTCAAATGCTTGGTCAAATAGGTTTTGGGATACATGCATGGTGCTCTAACATGTATATAATATTGAGCATAATAGTTGTCAATTGTTTCATAAACTTTCTTTAGGAATAAATTCTGGATTGAAGGTAAATATTTTACCTTATTTTTCTCTTTTAAACTCTTGAAATTTTATAATTTGATTTTAAATACAAGCAAAGACAACAAAGTTTGATTATAACTCTAATAGAGTTTGTGAGAAATTATAACCACCTGAAGTGGTAAAATTTCTATGTCTTGCCATGATCAAATTCATGTATGATTGTGAGCACAAGAAGCAGAAACCCGCCCCATTGAATTTGTTTCATTCTCATTCCCTTAAGAGAATGTGGTAGCAATATGTAATAAGTCTAAAAGAAGACGAAATTATTACCGTGAATGTATCAATGGATGTAGGCGTAGCAATAAATGAAATTATAACCGTCATCATTGTAGTAATGAGAACAATAAGGATTCTCAAAATAACCATTCACTTTGTGAAAGTAATGTTTGTCATCGATTTGACATGAAATTTTGTAAATTATATATAGATGATTATGGTTCATTCATGATTTGAATGTAACAACATGTGATTTATGATTACATATTTATTCTTCGAAGAATATGAACGTGCTAGTGGTAGTGAATATACCACACTCACCTCTAGAAGGAGGTTTGAGATGAAATAAGAAAATAATTTTATTATTATGACATGAATGGTCATTGATCACGTACCTATTGTGATTATGCCAATATATTATGGCAATATGATTATTACAGGGCAAAAGTAATGAAAACAACATATCTTGCCTATAATGATTTTAACCATACCCATAATGGTATAACTTTCTCCTCGAAAGAGATATTCACCATATGGATATTGATGAATATGTGGTAGTATAAAATTAATTGAGAGCTCTAGAAGAGCCAGTTATACTATTTTAGAGAAATAAAATTGATTATCAATAAGGTATTGTGTCGTGTAAGAATTAAAGAAACTTATAAAAGTGGGTAGCTATGAAGGAAAGCAGCTTGAGTTTCTAAAGTATTCGCGAAATCGGTTAGCTATATTGAGACTATAAATAAAGGAAAGATTTAAAGCGGTTAGCAGTTAGCTTTATTCTCCAGTTTGTACTACAACAAAAAAAAGAATGCCAAACTAAAGTAGAAATTTATTGATATAAAAACCCATATCATAATAAACTAAAAGTTTAATTAGAAATTACACATGTCATGATGTAAACCTGAAGTTTACCGATACATACAGTTTTACCAGGCATGGCCTATTGAGAAATCTTGATTTAAGTATGATGTGCAAAAGTAAAAGAGAATTCACATGGGCAAATATTAAAGAACTAGAAAGTTCTTTACGAATTCTCTTATGTTGCTTGTTCTCATTAATTAATAGACCAACTAAAATTAGGATTGAATCCCATGAATGCTGGAAATATCAAAGGTAAATATAGGCTCATTCACCTGCCATGTATACCACATAAGATGCATTTATGAGATGGTTACATGTGCGATTATTATTAACCCGCAATATAATATTTGTAAGGTAACTTGCTCAATAATTTAATTTAGGGCGTAAAATCTAATTTTTCTATTCAATACAGTTCATCTTGATAAATTGGTTTACTTCACAGTTGGTTTAGCAAAATAATTTATTGAGTGCCTCCACTTGATAGCAAAACTATTTCTTATGAGAACAAAGTCATCTATATCAGTTTGATATACGTTATATACGAAAGTATATTACATTCTCCCCTCACAAGTGGTTTAGGTTCAGGAACTAAATAATTTCATCTTATTTTTATTGATGTGAGGTGTATATTTTGATTAACACCATAACGCACAAAGGTAGATTTCTAAAGTTGAGGAAGAAAGTTAGTTTTTCTAACAAGAGGGGGAGATAGAATAAACAATTGAGAAAAAGTTACGTGGAACGAATTATCATTTATACATCTCGATCCTCGAATAATATAATATGAACTTGAAGTTCATAAAAAGATAATTCATCTGCAATATATTGTAAAGAATGCCAGCCGCATTTGCTGACCCAAAAAAAGTAACTATATTCTCATTGCAAATACTCCTATTAGAATAAGTCCTAGAAGAATAAAGTCTATGGTACACTTAAAGCATATAGACAAATCGGTTTCAAATAAAATTCTTGATAAAGAAGATGAGCAAATGATCAAAATTATTATAATAAGGAGGCAAGTGATCTATAAAATCACATGACATAACACTTCATAAAATCTCATGAGAGGTTCAGGTACCTGAAAATATAAATGAAGAGATCTCTATGTTATGTCTTTATGAAAAAATATTGGAACCGATATAAAATGTTCGCCGGCGACATCTATGATAGCGCTAAGTATAGATGAGGATCTTAAGTCTGTCGAATATAGACACAAAAATATTGGCCAAATGGAAGAGACACAATTCGAATAGAATTGGTTTCATATGAAAGATATGTAGTTTTGGACATGTAGTTCAAACACTTAAAAGTATAAAGTCAAGAGAGTGCGCAATCACTTTTATTTATCTTATATGTGTAGCATGACATGAAAACTTGATATGCATCTAAAGTCTATTTATAGTCTATTTGATATGCATCTAATGTGAAATTGATAATAATCTATGTTGATCAAATTAAGCCCATTTGGCTAAGAGAGACATAAGTCCAGCACCAAGAAGAACTGAAATATTGGCTCCTAATTGAAGTTTTCCATTGCCTTGCATTCTTGGATGCATAAAATCGGCAGCTAAAAAATCAACTAATGCCATATAAATCAAGATACCAGCTGATGCTGAATTAAATACTCCTTCCACAATAAGAGCCGTTGGACTGTTTTCATCGTAAGAATTTGTTATTCCTAATCCAATTCCAATTCCTATTGGAGTTGTGAGAGAGAAAAATAAAGTCATTATTGCCACTGCACGAGTCTTAAATTTTGCCTGCAAAATGGCAAAAGAAAAAAAAAAGATAAATAAACTATCATGGTAGTCTGACGCCAAATTATGATATCGCTCGTAACTACCATACTTTGTCACTAATTCGTCGCTAAATACGATAAACAATAAATTTTCTATTTAGCTACAGAATTTATTTTTCGTTCTAGTTTTTTAGTAGATAAGTGTATATCACATACATCCAATTAAGTACATAAAGTACAAATAAGAAAAGTACTAGCACTTGTCCACTATATCTAAATTAAGACTTTTGGTTAGTTAATTATCGACCACTGCATAATGTGCCGACACCTAAAGTCTTGAGATGCGTTAAAGTAGGGCCGCTCAAATCTAATCGAAAAATTGTATCAAACCGATTAAAAAATCCGATTAGATTTGGTTTGATTTGGTTTAGTGTTGAGTAATTAAATTTGAACCAAACTGACATATAAATATATAATTTTCATATATACTTTTAAGATTTTATATAAAAAATTTTATAAAATAAATATTTAGAAATATTTGGGATCCTCTCATGAGATGTAATATTTCATAGAAATATGAAGTGCGTTTATTTTTATTTACTTTAAATAGAAGGTTGTATCATTTTTTTATCAAGTGTTTTGAAATGTATCAATCATCTCTTTGTTCTTTCATATTCATATATCAAGATTTTTTATATCTTTTTCGAATTTGAAATGGTATTTCAATAATTTAGAATTAAATAGAACATATTATTATTTTGGTATCATATTAATTTTTATAATTAAATATTAAATTACCTCGAAAGCATGCATAAAAAAAAGTTATTGTTAGACGACTGAGAAAATAACTATCATGTGTTACTAAAAAAAGTTTTCCCATATTAATAGTTTAATAGACCATATGTTTGTCAATTTTTTTATTTTTTACTAAATATATGTTCATTTATCAAAACTTTATCTATAACTTTAACAAAGTAAGATTGAAATAATATTCATTTAATAAAACAATCCGAAAAAATTAAAAAATACGACAAACAAACCAATCCAGACTGATATAGTTGGTTTGGTTTGATTTTGATAAAAGTTGAACCAAATCGATCCAGGTATACCCTTAAACTAATAACGTACACACTCTATTGGTCCTCATTGACAAAACGTAGCAAGCCTTTTTTGACTTTATGTCAAAAGCTTTGTAAGTAGGCATTTGGACAAAACCCCTCACATTCAAGCGTTTGTCAAAAGCTAGCTAGACACAAATAATAGCGGTGAGTAGTCATTCAATTCTCATACAATAAATGGAATGCCACCCCCCCCCCCCCCCCCCCCTCGCCGCAATACTCTTTAAGTAAATTTATAGCCTGGCCAAGTTTCTCTAAAATAAAAAATAGTATGTTTTTTTTCAAAGTTGAAGTATTTGGCCAAACTTTTAGAAGAAGAAAAAATGCTTTTAAGCAGAACCAGAAGTAGTTTTGGAGAAGCAGAAAAAAATAGCTTTTCTCCAAAAGTACTTTTTTGAAAAACACTTTTGAGAAAAGTACACTTAGAAGTAATTTTTAAAAGCTTGGCCGAACACTAATTGCTACTCAGAAGCGCTTTTCAAATTAATTTGCCAAACACTGATTCTCACCGAAAGTACTTTTAAGAAAAAATACTTCTCAAAATAAGTTGATTTTTACAGCTTGACCAAACAGGCTATTAGAGTTCTTGTATTATACATATAGACAGAGCCAGAACTTGAACCTTTATGAATTTGAGATTCTAGTCTTTTTAAGTTACTGAATTCTAAATTATTAATTTGTATATGTTCAATAGATTATTAAAATAAATATTCAGTATGTTTGAGTCAAACCTATTGTATTCAACTTAACTCATAACTTAAACTCTAGATCGAACTCTAATTGTACATTGGACAAACGTGCAAAAGTCATGTGATACCCCGTCTCATATTTAGTTGTGTTCAATGGATGGATTACATAACTAAATTTAATCATGAAACTCAATGTAACTTACGGTTAGAATAGGATTTTTAGTTACCCAAATTTAATACTCGATATATATGACATAAGATTAGACTATATCTTTATCCAATAGTGACAAATCGAAAAGAAACAATTTTTAAAAAAAACAAAAGTGAAAACAAGAAGTCATATTACCTGAGCAATGCATCCACCAAGGCCCATGCCTTCGAAAAATTGATGAAAAGTCAAAGCAGCAACAAGAGGCCTTATGGTTTTGGGACTTTCAGAAGCACCCAAAGCTATTCCTATTATCACAGAATGTACTATTATCCCCAACTCCAAAACCTGCAAAATATTTAAATATACAATAATCAGGCGTGATAATATGAGTTACGCTTATAGAGGAACAAATAGCTCAGCGCTTTGTTATTATCCACAAAAAAGTTGTATCCTGGGCCCATTCACTTTTTTAATAAGTTGAAACAGTATATCTACTTGTAAATTCTCTTTGTGATTCTCCATTATTTTTACTATACAATATAAAAAAATTCAAATCTCCTTGCGATTAAAAATTGTCTATGTCCATGATAATGCCAAAGATTACAACGAATTTATGCTTATTTAAAAAAAATTAAAGCTGGCGAAATTCAATTAGCAGAAAATAGATTGAATGGTTAAAGAGAATACTATCTTTCTTTTCCTTCCACTCCTGATCCCAAAATATATATAATGATAGAAGAAGAAGAAGAAAAAATAGGGAGTAAGAGATATTGAAATTTTATTATAGGATCTTTGTACAAATAACCAACTGATGATCAATATACTGTTTATTTTTTATAGCAATTTGCAGTTTAACTGGTTGGTTGAACGGCTATTTACCTGAGATATAACACGATAACGAAGGAGCTCGGAATCAGAATCACCAATCATTGATGTTGAACCATGTACATGGCCATGTGAATGAACATTAACTAATTCTTCATCTCCAGACTGAGCCACCACACCATTTTTCGCAGATTTATTCTTATAATATGAAGTTGCATAAGTATCCACCATCAGAGTCGCCATTGCAGAAATCATTGCAATAAATCCACTAAAAGGAAAATCTCCCCACGGATGTTTTTTCAAACATGGCGATGTTAAACTTTTATATGCATCAGGTAATACATGTATAAACCCTGTCGCGAGGATCACACCAGCAGCGAAAGCTTTGATTATAAAAAATAAATTCTTCTCTGGGCTCAAAGCTGGTATTATTTTTTCAAAAATTAACCTCGTACAATCCTCTTAATTAATTACCTGGAAGTTAATTAACTTATTTTTAGTTGGATCCTATACAAAGTTATTACTCCCTCCATCTCATATTATTTGTCGTGATTTCTAAAAATAGTTGTCTCAAATTATTTGTCTTTTTTGGAAGTTCAAGACAAAATTAATTATTTTTTTCTCATTTTACCCATAGTAGTAATTGTTTTTGAAGATAGAGATGGCACATAAATAAATATTCAATGAAGATAGATTAGGTCTTAAGACATAAATAAGGGTAAAATAGTAAAAAAATCTTCTAATTAATGTTTCTTAAGTGTCGTGTAGAAGAGAAATATGATAGATAATTTGAGACGGAGGGAGTATTCTTTTGTTTCCTAATTAGATTGGTTTGATTAATTCGTTCTGATTAAATTAAGTAATTCTGTGCATGTTAAGATGTTCTCGTCCATTTTTCTTGAATTTGTCGTTAGAAATATGTTAAAATACAAAAGTAATCTTTTGAGAGGAGATTGAGGTTACCACGTTATCACTTGACACTTGGTGTTAGAGCAATTATATCGAAGACTGATTAATTGTATTTTCAGACTTCAGTTCATACAGATTTATAGATGGCATTTACATTTAATAAAAGAAAAAAGAAAAAATAGATGTTTGTTTTGTGGTTTGACTTTGCTTTCGTTTTTTATTTTCATCTTTTTGGGCTAGAATTCGCTTTATGTTTCATTTTGGAGACTTCGTTTTCTTTGGTTTGTTGAGAAAATATCATCAAAACGCAGTAGTACTATTAATTTTAGTCAACTGAATTTATTCCATAATTAAATTGAGGTCAAACAAGTTGATCAAATTTACCACTTTAAAGTTTAAACTATTAGTTTATCAGTAGAAATTCAGGTAATTGTATACTTTATGCTTTATCCATGCAAACAAATCATTTTGCTACTTAAATATCAAAAAATATTATTATTTCACTTTTTCTTCCTGTTGAGAGAATGGGAACGAGGAAATAATCTCGTTTTTTCACTTGCAATTTGAATAAAAAGGAGTTTCATGAACTTCCAAAAGATTCTTCGACCAGATCAGTGTACTTTCTGGGCCAAAACGCGTCCCTTAGCTGTGTCAAATCAATTATTTTCAAATTATATATGACCAAATCTTATCGGGCAAAAAATGATATTCTTCTATATATTGGTGTGTATCTATGCCGGAAAATGGTTTTCAAAAAAAATATCTTTCCAAAAATAAAATAGTTTTCTAGTGTTTAATCAGAAAATATATTTTAAGAAAAATATTTTTCATCAGAAGGAGAAAATAGCTTTCCTAACTTCTAGGCATTTATCATTTTCTTTCACAATTATTTCAACTCTTAATTGCATATAACTGCTTTAATCAATACTTATATTATTAAGGACTGCTCGATGCACAAGGCATCAAGCGTTTACGCAGAGGAATGGTCGCACTCCAAGGGGTGTGATGTAGACAACCTACATTACTACAAATATTAATGACTACTTATACATCATTATCAATCTTTAGTTCTCAAAACAATTCATGAAAATACTACTATTAGGTTTGCAAATATTATTATCAATATTTTATTAAAAAAACAACATATCTTTTTTACTCTTTAACCAATCGTCAAAAAACTTTTACTCCTGTTACTAATCTTTAATAAATATTTTTTCGAAAGATATTTTTCACTCTTTATCTAAACACCAAAAAATACTCTTTTAGAATAATATTTTCTAAAAAATAAGTCATTATCCGGAATATTTTTAGAATTACTTCATGAAATCTGACGAATAGTTCCATTTTTTTAATAGTTCCATATAGAATATACTAGTTTAGCCCACAAAGCGGCATGACGAAATTTGCAAAGCTCTTTTTGCATTTTTATTATTGGTTCACGAGGGGTCCCAAAGTGACTTTGGCTAATTTTGTGAAGCCTTTTTCTATGTTTAATGGTTCAATCTTATGATGCTAGTGTTAAAACATAGTAATGTGATGCTAGTGTTAAAACGTATAATTAAGTAACTAATCCAATCATATTTTTTTTTCAAAGATTACTTTTATCGCGATCGAAACTATTTATATTTGATAGCCACAAAAACATATAAAAAAAATATTATAAATAAATAAATAAATAAATATATAAAATAAATATTTATTATTATTATTATTTTGAGAACGACCATAAGATTTTTCTTTTTTAAAAATAGATATTCATAAGTCTAGCATATAGAACTCTTCTTTTAGTTTGTCTCTCGAAAATAAGGTGAAAATTCTTCCAAGTTTTGGCCTACTTATCCTCCCCATAAAGACAAACTATGATGTGACTCGTACTCTTTGTCATTATTTGGAAGACTTTAGTCGCATATTCCTTTGTTATTGGATTGTCTTGTAACCCACACACTAATTCGGCTATTACTGTCATCAAAGTTGTTCCCACACTTTAGTGTTGACTTTGACCAGTGTATATTTACCCACGAGTTAACTACTTAAATTAGCTCCACGCCACATATATCTCATTATTAATACTCCCGCCGTTTTATTTTACCTATTTTAAGTTGACTAGTCATCTAGTTTAAAGATGTAGAGAAATTTTTCATTAAAGATGTGTATTAATATATAAAAATATATTTTTTTAAACTTATAATTTTACATATGTCATACTTTAAAATTAAGAATATAAAATATATAAAAATGTTAAACTTTTCTTAAACAGAAAAATAATTACTAATAAGACACATAAATTAAAACAAATGAACTATTAGTTATCTTAGCTCCAGGCTACACTATTCATGAACTCTAAGGCCGCAAATATTCATTAGTATTAAACATGTAGTAGCAATAACGTCTCATGTTTGTTCTAGATCAAAAAGTATCACATGAAAATGTTTGTTCTAGATCAAAAAGTATCACATGAAATTGGACAAGAAGAATAATTTGTAAGTCAGTTTGAAATCCAATATTTAAATATCACCTCATTAATACTTAACGCAAAGTAAATAAACATAGTTTGACGTAAATACCTAGGATAAATAATCTTAAGACATAAACTGTTTGATATTCAAATAGGGTCTATATGCATTGTTACTTTTTTCTACTTTCATCGAATATCCACAAGAACGTAATCAAATATAAATAATACAAGTGTAAAGTGTATGCTTCTAAAATTTGACAATCAATGTTGATTGAGGTGAGGGTGAGCATGAAAATTGAATAGAATTTCTCCTCTATAGCAGGACCACCTCGTACGAATATAAAGACTTTGTCACACTAAATTAAGATTCCTGGTCCTATTAGGATTGTCCAATAGTAAAACTTCCTATCGTAGAAACTTTGTCACAATTAGAATCCAATTATTAATGTTGAAGGTTTAACATTCACAAAATTTAAATTCTAAAGTCGCTCGGCATAAATTAGTAATTAATGCCTTGTCGCTACAACCACGGGCACTTGACTAACTAGGACCATGTCTTAAGTCTAAGCATATCTTTTCAACTTTGCTTACTATTTTGGCTTCTTCGATCTCTCTCCATAAAACCAAAATATCATCTAAGTTTCTAAGGACACCACACATTCTGAACACAATGTAACCCAGCCAATAGTATCAAAGCTGTTCCCATACTGCAGTGTTGACTTTGACCTACCTAAATTCATCTCTTAGCACTAGAGGCGGATCTATAATTTAAGTTTTATGGGTTCAACCTTTAAGGTTTTAGCATTGAACTCATTTTATTTTTAAAGTTATGTGTTCATATTGCTACATATTGCAATATTAATAAATTTATGCTCCGCGCAAAAAGATAATTAGATTCAGTAAACCGATACCGATACATTGCATCCGCCTCTGCTTAGCACGATATTCATTAGTAATATAAAAATGGCAGTAAAAACATCTCATACCCTGCGTCTCTATGCCAAATCAAATGATATCTAAAATAAGAAGAAAAAAAGTAATTCTTAAGTCAATTGACTCAATTCTATATCCATTTTCCAAATATATAACCTATATTACTATTTGTAAAGTTGCCGGGCAAATTCTTAGACATGTGTCCATCCTCAGACTTGAAAAGGGTCGAAATACATCATTAATTCTTTTCGTTTACTATCATAAAATATCCATAAGAAAATAATCACATAATAAATAATACAAACATAAAATTTATACTTCTTAGATCTGGCTTTCATCGAATGAGAATGAGGATGAGATTGAAGAAAGTCGCTATAATTTTATCCTCTATAGAAGGAGACCACCTCGTACTAATGTTAATAAAAAAAAAACTTAAACTAAATTAGGATTACTGATCCTGTTAGAATTGTCCAATAGAGACACTTCCCATCGTAGAAACTTCGTAAAGTCCCTGTGATGTAGACATTGAATAGAAATGCCTTGTCTCTACAAGTCCACTTGCCTTACTTGGACCATAGCATTTTGTGGCTGAGGAGGACGGTTGCGGGCTTTGTGATTGGAAGAGGTGGCCATCAATCCATTCCTCACCTTGCCACATTATTCACGTATAATTTTGTCAAAATATCTTAAAAATAATTTCTTTTATTTGATATTTATATATGACCATAAAAAAAAAAATTTATTTAGTAATTATACAATTCATAAGAAAATAACACATATTAATTAAAGCTTGATAAAAGTTGGACAGGTTAGGCTAGGACCCAAATTTTAGTTCATCTTGACCCAACGCATCTCAACTCAAGTAATTTTATTGACTCAACTCATTTTGACCTGTCCAAAATCGGCATAACCAGCCCATTTGACACCCCTAAACCTCAATATACTCCTCTTCGTTGTGATAATACTCTTCTTCTTCATTCTCGTCCTCTTCATCGTAATAGTACTCAACAAGTAAATAGAAGATGCAAAACAATATAAGCACTATCTTGAAGAAACAAAAGCTATAAGCAAAACAGCTACCACTTTTATGGATAACTATATAATCCAATACCAGGGTCTCCGCTTTCAAATAATTACAAATAAAGGAAACAGCACATACAAAAAAACTCAGTACATGTACAATGTGCATAAAAAGGACTATACTTTTATTAGAGATTGTACCTTTTTTCTCTTTCGTTGGTTTTATATTGTGGATAACTCTACTTAACATCTTCACCCTGATTTCGATAACACTAGCTAGACCAATGTTCCTTTACTCTCCTTTCTTTTCAAAATATTAAATGACCAAGAATTTGTAGGTCCTCCTATCCTAGCTCATCTGCTTATCATATATTCAATTTATAGGTTAGCATACTAATTAAGTAGATGAGCTTAATTTATTGTTTTTTACATTATATGTAGGGCAAAGCGTCAAAATATTATGGCCATTCTTAGGGACAAAACAGCATCTTGCACGTTGCTTTTTAATTATTTCGTATTTTTGTTTTAGCAATCTTAAAAAATTTCCCCTTTGCCACTTAAAAAGAATAGGAAATCTAAGAAAGACTATGGAATACATGAGAAGAGAATTCTTTTCTTTTTCTAATTTAAAGAATACTTGATAGCTAGAATAAAATTCGTGATCAATCTTCATGTGGCTTGATAAGAATGTTGAGTTAATAATAATAATAATAATAATAATAATAATAATAATAATAATAATAATAATAATAATAATAATAATAATAATAATAATAATAATAATAATATATAATAATGGATTTAATTTCTACACGTTGATACTGTATCCATTAAATATGAAAAATAAGAATCTTTTATTGTTAAATTGCACTGATTATGCAAAAGTTCATCTACGGGTCGGTACTGTCAATGGATAAAAGATAAACCCATAATAAAAATTTACAATAATCTCGTCTAATTCGGAAATGTGGTTTGTATATGTGCACGCGCCACAGGGGCGGAGCTAGCCTTGCAGTTTCAGGTTCGGTCGAACTCAATAACTTTGGTTCAAACCTTATATTCGTCGTAAGAAATTCATTGAATATATACAAATTATTAATCTAGTACATAAATTTCAAATTTTAGCTCCATCTTTATGCACAAATTAAATTAAAGTAATAGAGAAAATATATGGAGAAGGATGATCAGTAGTAAACTGGTAGCTAGGCCTAGAAGAGAGAAGATGCTAATTAAGAGGTAAAAGATTGGAGCCACTGATTAGCATCAACGAAAGACGAGTTGAGGAAGGGAAGAGCTTGTGTATCATTTAGTCTTTGAACATATGGTGCCCTCAATGTCATACTGGATCCTGCTCCTGAACAATTATACTCCCCATAAAATATTGTCCTGTATGTATTATTTTAGTCTGTTAAACTTTACAACCAATAATATAAGTCAAATGATAATGTTAAGTTGAAAACAAATAAATTTCATTATGATAAGCACTATATAAAATAAGGTTCTTAGTGCCGACGTTTAAAGATTAATCTTCTTGAATTTAACAGCTAACTTTAATGTTTGTTATTGTTTGAGCGTTATAGGAATATAATATATTCGGTGATGACGTTCTACGACGCCTATTTTTAGTCGCTACCAAAAATCGTGCTATCAATCTTCAGTAGTGACCTATCTAAAATCCATTTTGTGGTGAACGTAGTCTCCGTAAATAATAATAATAATAATAATAATAATAATAATAATAATAATAATAATAATACAGGGGCGGATGCACATTCACATTGTTCCAAGCTTTGATGAAATTTCTTCACAAAAATTAAATGTAAAATAAAAAATAATTTTGATTAACTAATACTTTTTATGATAAGAAGTAATACTTTAAAAATTAGATTTAACAACTTACTTTAATATTTCTTTACAGTTAGAGCACAAGAAGGAAAAAAGAGGTTTTTCGTGACGACTGTTTGTGGCGATAAGACGAGTCGCCATCACAGGTAGAGAGTTATATGTTATTGTTATCAATGGCGACTACCAATGCCGGGAAATAAAAATTTCGGTGACGACATTCGGTGGCGGTAGATTTGGTCGCCACTGTAATGCCATTGACATATAATCACTACCTTTGTGTGGCGACCAGTCGCCACAGAACATCGTCATTGAAATTTCCTATAATGTTCTAACAATAACGAACATGCAAGTGAGTTGTTGAAAGGGAGAATATTATTTTTTAAAGTATTAATTTTCTCATAGAATATTAGTTAATTGATACCGTTTTTATTTTTATTTTTATAATTTACATATATTTTTTGTGAATATTTCTCGCGCTTGGAACAATGTAAATCATGTGCATCCGCCCATTTGCATTATTTTTGTTACTTTATTGTTAGATTTTGTGGTGAATTGCCACGAAAAGTAAATAGATACACCACAAAATAGATTTTAGGTAGGTCGCTACTCAAAAGCGGCAGCACTAATATTGGTGGCAACTAAAGAAATTGCCAAAAGACCGTCGTGATTGAAAATTTTGTTTCGTGTAGTGAAGGTATGTTGGAGAAGATTAGTTTGTAAGTAACAATTATGGTGCGCCTAAGTGGATATTCATCCTTAGATTAGTTGCTCGTGAGTAGAGGTGTCAAATGAGCGGGTTGGGTTGATTTTGGGCAGATCGAAATGTGTTGAGTCTATAAATAGGCGGGTCAAAATGGGTTGAGTCTATAAATGAGCGGGTCAAATGACCCGCCTAAAAGTTACCTGAGCTGAAATAGAATGGGTCAAGATGGGCTAAAATTTGGGTTACAACCCAACCCGTCCAACTCTTACCATGCTTTAATTAATAATGTATTATTTTCTTATGAATTGTATAATTACTAAATAAAACTTTTTTCCTTTTGTTATGGTCATATATAATATATCAAACCAAAAAAAAAGAATTATTTCTAAGATATTTTGGCAAAGCTACTCATGGATCAATTTGGGCTAAAAATCAGCCCAATTTTAAATGTTTGAAATGAGTTGGGCCAAGATGGGCTGAGTTTAGTAAATGGGCAGGTCAATAACCAGCCCAACCTTGGACATGTCGGACGGGTCAATAACCAGCCTAACCTTGGACGGGTCGGACGGGTCATTTGTGCTTGGGCCAAATTTGAGAGCCCTTACTCATGAGAAACTATACACAAGGCCACAAGGGATAGGTTGGCAAAATGGGGTGTACTGTCAAATCAACTATGCCCTCTTTGTAATCCGGAGGAGATGAGTATTGCTCATTCGTTTTTCAAATGTGTGAAGTTGCAGCTGTGATATATGGCACAAAATGTTACTACATTGGTAGGGGATATCCAGGCAAGTAATGGGATGGACTGAAGAGAAGAACTGGGTTGTAACTCACTTTAATGGGAAAAGTTCCAACGTTGAGTTGTAAAAAAAAAATATTATTACGATAGTTTAATCTTTTAGATGAGATAAAACGACTTAACTGATCTCTTGAAGGGTCGTTAAAGTCGTTCCAGCCCTCAGGAGCGATGATATCAGTCATGTAAGTGTTAGCAAAGACGACAGTGGAGTAAGGCCTCCATGCACGCCCCAACCAAATCCTACCAGTCCCTCCCAAAGTACAGTTCACAAATGCAAAGCCGCTGTTTTCGTCTTTGGTAGCTCGGCCATGTGCTGTCACAGCGCCATTTATCGACTTAACTCCTGCTGCTACTGGGCTTGCTATTGATATCAACTGGCAGTTCAGCATGTTCTTGAAACTATTACTAATACTCCTTATAGAAACCTCTTCAAACTTTATACTGTTAGTTCATTTGATTTTAACTACTAGGTGCATGATATGTGCTTGTTTTGATTAAAAAGAAATGGAGTACGTGAAATATTATGTATTTTATGGGATAATGAAAACATGTACTTTGAACTTTAAGCAATCTATTCGTACTTGTGACATGATAAATGCTAAGTGCGAAAATCACTTAATAACTTTAATTATAAGAGTATTTGTCTAAATTATAAGAGTCACTACAGAAAATGTGATTTTTAACCACAAAATGATTAGCTACAATAGAAAATTCGTCACTAATTGTCCAGTTTTTGTAACAAAAATTATATTTCGTACTTAATTAACACACTCTACTGAATGAAAAATAGTAATGAAATTACTTATCGTTTTTCTAAAACGTTAAATATTTTAAAACAAATTCAGTACTAAATGTTTAGGTGAAATAAAAGTTATACCTCGTACAATGATTTGCCATTGCCAAAAATAAAGTCGATGGAACCCTGAATATAACAATCCTTGAAGTAATGGCGACCCCTATCGTCATGAAGTGTATCCTGAGCTCCAAAAAATCCACAACCCCAAAAGGCAGCTTCATCTCCTGCTATCCTTATTGCCACTGCTTGCGCTCCTATCGCCCCTGGCCCCGGCATTGGAGCTACATTCTGTATTAATGTCGACAATAAAATATGTTACAGGCTGCTTAAAATATTAAAAAACCGGAGCAAGTAAAGCTGTAACCGCACGAAAATGAAAATGATATAATATACCATGAAACTTATATTCTTGGCAATGAAGTTGGTAGAGAAAATTTGGACAGATCCACTGTAAAATGTGCCATTTGCAGAATTGGCAGTGTCATTCCATACAATAGCTGTTGTGGTATACCCTTGCCCTTGAAATGTGATATTAGGTTTTGTTTTTGGTATAATTACTTTTTCACTGCATTTCATAACAAATAAAAATAATACGTTACATAATAAAACAAGAGAAATTAACAAAAGTCACTTAGCTTCCAAACCAATAGAACTACTCCAATTCTTACAAATAAATGCCATTGCTTATCCATATTAAGCTTCTTTTCACGCTAAAATTCCCAACTGCATCAACTGCAGCTTGCACTGTAGTGAAATTACAACAGCCATTATGATCAACGCATAGAATGGACGTTGTATTAGTGTCTATAGTAGGAAAATTGGGTGAAAATTTGTCACATATTGATATTTTTGCCTTATCATCATCAGAATGATGGCGATGATCGTGATGGCGTCGATTAACATTAAGAATGCAGTTGAAGTACGTGAAATTTGTTGATACAAAAACAGCGGTTATTGCTATGAAAAGTGGGAAAGCTATGGCTTTAGGATTCATTTTTCTGACTGCAATGATACACAAAGAAGGTGACAAATATATAACTAGGAGAAGGATGATATTTAAAAATGTGAGTTTTTGGATTATATCCTTTTAAAATTGATGATGAAAGAGATAAGAAATTAGAGAACTGTTTGAATGAAGTGTAAGAATGGTGTGGCATGCCTTGCAAATTACCCTTTCCTTTTCTGTTCTTTTTTTGGGACAAGCGATACCTACCAAAACTTCAAATGGATGATGGATTCTTGAGCCTATAATTGATAAGACCATTCAGTACGGAAGCCAAAAATTTCCGGGTATTCAAATTTGAAAGAAGTAAAAAAATAAATTCCGACAAAGAGTGTTCAATATATGTAATGTACCTCTAAAATATGATATGTGTTGCTTCGCCACTGAGACCATTTCTCTAATTAGCAAAGTTGAGAATCCCTGCTATAGAAAGCAGATTAAGAGTCTTGGGCATCGTTTGTATTGTATTTTCCTTTTTTTAAAGGATTAAGATATATGAATTTAAAATATTATCTTTAAATTTTAATATTGGATAATATATAAAAACGATTTGTTTCTCAGCATAATATTTAGATGAGTATAATTTATCTATATTTAATAGCTAATGAATAAAAAAATTAAAATAAAATAATAATCTACTTAAATATTAAACTAACAAAATATTAGAGAAATCTTAATTTAAATATATGGTGTTATAAAAACTATTTGTTTGATGAAGGATGCTCTAAAAGATAGTCTTTTAGAATCAATGATGATTGTGAGGTGATGATAGGTTGTACTCAGTCTTTTTACAACAGCACTTGCAACTTTTTATTTATTACTCGTAATATCCAAATGCAATAAAATCCGCTCAAATGTACTACTATTCTGCAGGAACAGAACTAATTGAAATTAAGAGTAATTGTTGATTGGAGGTTATTTTGAAGCCCGTTAATCAGTCCCTTGCCAATCATCTTTGGACTTTTAACATATTTGATCGGTTGGCTTAAAATAATTAAAATAATATATTTTTTTTGTAAAGTAATATTTAATATATAAAATATATATTTGTCGACTATTATTTTAGAGGGCGGCTATATAGCGTGGATTTCCGTCATCATTTGTGAGAAATGTTAGGTGAAATTTTCCTGAATCCATCTTCCAAAAAGAGGATATGTTGCTGCTATTGTTATTGGTAGAAATGCAATTTTGAGTTTAGATTTCTACACTTGGAAGCAACTCAAAGACAGTTTGGCTGATAATAGTTAAATTTCAAAGTCAGGTCCAAGTTGGGGTATGTTTTGAAGAATGGAATCAATATTAGATTAGTTAATTAACAGGAATTTTTAAAAATCGTTATTGTTTAGTGGCTATTAACTTCTTATAGCTATCATATACATAATTACTTTATATATCTACTATTCAGTTGTTACTGTAGTGTATTCGTAGTATTCGCGATGTTGTATTCATGAATACAGCAGCAAAAAGCGCATAAAAATCAAGGTAGTCCAGTTGTACGCGCATGTATTCACATGTATTCGCGTCATGTATTCATGAATATAGCAGCAAAAAGCGCCTAAAATCAGGGCAGTCCAGTTGTACGCGCATGTATTCACATGTATTTGCGCCATGTATTTATGAATACAGTAACGGCAATCATCTTAAAAATAGGTATGTCCATATGTGTAAGAGAGGAAAAACATAAATAGCGTATTTCATGTCTTATTTCATGCCTCAATGGTAGTATATACCATAAATACTTATTTTGTTATAAAATATAAAAGGTAACTATAGAAATAATATTTTAAAATAATTTGGTTTATAATAAATAGGGTGTATACATTTGGTATAGGAGGTAAATTTTCTTTAATTAATTAGCAAAAAAGGTGGAAGTTTGTTATTTTTACAATTAGAAAAAAAATATTCCACCCAATCTTGTCATCACCATAAGGAATCTAATGAAATAGAGTAGCCGTAGAAAATACTAAAGAGTAATGTGAATTAGTGGTATTACACAAAGAAAAAAGGGTTTAGGGTGAGGAAATTAAAATTGACTTTGTCAAGATAATATAATATCTAATTTTCCGCTTTACACGTTCAGTGGGACCCGTAAGCTCCCATACATCTCCTATATTCACTTACCGTCCATTTCTCATTCAACAAGTCAACATGCCATTTTTTCCCCTTTTCCTTCTTTATTAGAGTAGTTAATAAATAATTTTTTCAATGTTATATTCAGTGAGAGAAAATATAATTTTATACACTGTTACTTTAATTTAGCTTATTTGTAATAAATAAATTTAATATATTTTTCATATTATCAAGTCATGTAAATATTTGCTACTGCATGCTATATTTTAACATAAGGATATAATTTAGTAGAAGTACTATATTGACAATATGCAAAATTTATTTATTTTTCCCCTTAACCATACGTGCAGTCATTTTCCACTAGAATTTTCGCCAAATAGGAGAAAGTGTGCGGTGTGCCCCCGCAGACCCGCTTCAATTTTTTGAACATCTTTTTCTTTTTCGTAGAAAACTGTTTCATCAAATTATACTTTATTACTATAGTTGAGTTACTATAGATTAAGATTACGTATTAATTTAACTCCGGATTATTAATAAGAGTGCATGTGAAGACATACCTCATGTATTTATTATATTTGTGAAAATACCATATACGAGTAAATATTTGCCTGTATTATCTAGTATGGTCTCTCACTATGTACTAGCTGAAAATTTAATATATAAACATATTATTATCTTATTAACAAGACACAAAAACAAAGTGAAACAACTGGCCCTAATTTTTGACAGAGCAAAAAGATGATATATATCTGATAGTTGGAACTTGGAACAGTTAGAATTCCAGTGAGGCTTGGCCCTCAAAGTTTTGACGTGTCTACGTATGCTTTAATATTTACAATTGTACTTAATAACATTCCCTAAAGTTCCACTCAATCAGAAGTACTTTCAGTCCTATGAACTTACAATACTCCAATTCTTATTTTCTTTTATACATACATCACTGGGAAGGTAAAAGTTTCCTCAAGGGTGTTCATATTTTTAAAAAAAAAAGTAAAAACAAAATTCGACAAATAGTATTCAATATATATTATGTACCTCTAAAATATAATATTTTATCTATATATGCAGTATAATTTATTTTTCGACAAAGGGCGATCAATTGACCACCCTAACCAAAGTGTAGTTTCACTCATGCGTACTTGCGTTATTCCGCATGGTAAAAAAAATCGCACAGAAAGAGCATCAAACCCTATATTAGTCCAAATAGTAACATTTATTTTTTTCAAAAGGAAATAAATAAAGAAATCAAGAAAAAGATTACATATCAAAAAGAGGAAAATACATTGTAAACAAAATTTTAAGTACTCCTATATATGTAAAACAAAAAGCAGCAGTGGGGATCTTCTTCCGAGTGGGACTTATGTACAGGTTACAGCTTATGTTATCAAAAGCAAGAAAGTGACGGAAGTCACACAAAGTGGCATAAAATCATGAGTGAAGCCGCCGAAGTTGAAACTTGAATTTAAACCTATGATGAGGAAAAATCAAAAAAAATCTATGTGAAATCAAATTGATCAAAACATAAAGTTATTTTCAGACTTGTTCTCATTAGAAGGAGAAGATCCACTCTCACTAGGAGAAACCAACGTAGAAATCCTATTACCCTCCACGTTAGGTCTTGTTAAATTGCTGGTGCGGCCCACTGAGCTGAACATATAGGGTACTTGATTTTGTTGCATTGGCTGCTGAAACTGTATATTATAAGCTCCAGAATTAGCAGCAGTAGTAGGGTTCACAATATTATTATTAGAGGAGCTAGAGCCAAAACCTAAGTAGGTTCCCTGTGTTGACGCAAATGGTGTAGTAATTGCACCACCAGTGAACTGTTGAACCATGGCTCGGAAATTGGTGGTGTCTGTGTTCAAAACAGTGGTTGGTGTTCGTCGAGAAGCTCGTGAACGACGTCGTATAGGCTTGGAAACACGGCCATCGGCTGGGCCATGGTTGTGGTGATCTGCCGGAGTAGTACTACTACTGATTATGGACGTGGTAGCGGTGGTGACCACCGTAGCATCAGAGACTCGGCCGTCGGAGAATACGGTGGTTAACGGCGATCTTTGAGGTTGGCCGCCGGAGAGGCTGTGTTGGTAGAATTGTGCCCAGTTGGTAGGGTTTGGCATGGTTTCACTCATGCCCATAAAAAAGTTGAAAAGGGAAAGGGGATGAAGCTGAGAGTTTGAAAAGCAAGTCTATGTGATTAAAAACTTTAGGAAGAAGAGAAGAATAAAAGCATAGGATCATCCTTTGTATTTATACATATTTTGAGACGGTGGAGCTAGAGTATTAAATACAAGTTCAGAAGAATTCAATAATTTTAGATTAAACTAGATATTTTTATTAGAAAATTTAGTAAAATATATAAATATTTGATTATGAACCTAGTAATTAAGAAATTTATAACTCGAATGGTAATTTAAAATCTGCTGGATAGTCAAAGTAAATGACTAGTACTATACTTAGGATGTCAAACCGGATGGTTGGGCCGGATATAGGCAGGTCAGAAAACAGGTAATGCAAAAAACGAATTCCGAATCGGGTTAACCGACAGATAATAATATTCATGTTATCCATGGCTTCTTGAATATGATCACTTTTGGAAAAATTCATAGTCTTCCAAACTTAAGAAAACCTCAATTTGAGTCATTACAAATGTAAAAGTTAAACCCATTAGTTATCCACTGATTTGGATAATATGATTTTTATCCTTATTTGATCCGTTTTTAAAATAATTATTATTAAACCTATTTTTTAATAAATATTATAGGTAGATAACTATTTTCTCTCTATCATTTTGCGACCAATATGCTATGCTATAGTGGCTGTGTGATCATGACCTGAGTGCCGCCCCCTAAGCCGAGTCCTCATTTCTTGAGAACAAAATGGCACGTGAAAGTCGCGTGGGTCTGCGACGGGAGAAATTTGGCATATTTGCGTTGAATATTCTCTCTTTTTCATCATGTGAATTGCGAACAAAATATACATTGATGATTCAATAAACAAATAAAAACGAAAAAGCTTCATAAACTACTCTTTAGATTTAGTTTTATACATACTAATCTCTCTTGTGATTTGAAATATTTCAATAAACTTTCTTATTTTAATTTCTTTTATAAAACCTATTTAGTGATATATAATACTTTGTATGCTATTCCTTTTGTGGAATTAAGCACTAATAATAAGTTTGGTAACACGTTCTTTGGATTTTTTTTAATCATATCTTATGCTTCAATTTACTGGCAAATCAAAGATTTTTAAATTATAAGTATTCAACTATTCTTAATTTAAAAATTGTTACTTAGACTGAGTGCTTAGTTAATCTATTTGCATAATTTTTAGTTTTTCTCTCTAAATAATGTTTATTTTCAAAAGCAATGATTGCTTAAGCATCCATAATACATAGCGCAGATCAGCCATATCGGTAGTGCTAAAACTTCACTGATTTTCTTTTCAAGGGAAAATTAAAAATGATGTTGAAAATTCTTGAGTGTAATAATTAGAAAAGTATGATAATAAGTGAAAAATAACTAGGTTCATCAAATAATAATAAATTGAAAATTAAATTTTGAACTTTTTTAGTCGACAATGTCGTCATAACTCGATAAACATTATCTAGGTCAATAAAAATNGGGGGGAGGGGGTTGCTTAATCTTCTAGATATAGTAGTCCTTCAAAGTGATGCCTGCCCAAATAAGAGGTGGCAAGTTCCAGGAAACAACATAGGCTGATCTTTTTTCTTACGATCATGGACTGTTTACGCACATTTTAATTAATTTTACGAGATATTAATTAACATTCATTGAATCTTGACTGCAATAGAATGGGTGGTAGGTATATACTGACTAGGATGACTTTAATTTGGTCCTCTCTTTTGGAGGTCTTCTGCTTAATTTGCGTCACCTTTTCTTTTCATTTTTTTTCTGTCTTCAGCTAGACCTACACGACCTTAGCTTTCCACACTATGATTTTGATGCTTAAAATATACCCTGACTAGTATTTTATCGGACTTTGATTCATTTGTTCCGGTATGTCAAGATATGGAAAAAAGAATAAAGTTAATTACATGTATATAGACATGTCGACACATACACAAAAGTTTTTCTTATTAGTTATGTAAAAATGTTTAAATAATGCATTAGTTACGTAAAAAGACTGTACATATGACTATATGAGACTATTTCGTTGGCTCTCAAGTCTCAAATAATGCTCTATAATTAGTCGTTTAAAGATGTTACATCAAGTAAATTTGTAAGTTTTCTAAAGCACATTTCTCTTTCTTTCTTTCTTTTTGTTTCTGTACCAACGGCAGAAGAAATAAAAGTAGAAGAAGAGAGAAAAAGTATGAAAAACGCATATATAATAGTCAATGTCGGTGTAATTCATATACATCGTCATGGATTACCGTCGAATGTTGAAATATATGGCCAAGTAGTGAATATTCGACGAAAATAGTTTTTTTTTTTAAATTTCTTTATTCTAAATTTTGGGATGGAAGGAGAGAGTTACTTCTCGGAAGTTAATTAGAAGTAATCATGATTTAATTACTTATAATTAATAATGCAAGCAAAGATCTTGGGCCCGTTCACCAAAAAAAAAAAAAAAAAAAAAAAAAAAAAAAAAATCAACATGCGTGATCTACAAAGAATCCGACTACTACGTGATGAGACATGATAAAAGCATATATCTACGTGTAAATAAGAGTTATAAAACTATTGTTTCTTTAACTATTTTTCTCGTCTTCTCTGAGGGCAGTGAAAGCCATCTGATATAGGTTGGAAACTGATCTCTGCTGCCTTTAGTAATCCTAATTCAAATTGATGCAATTTCTCATTTGTCTAGCTAACTAAGTCGTCCTCTAACTTGCTTGGAAGCTATTCATTTATAGCTAGTAAATATGAGTTGCTGCCAATGAACATGGCTCAGAAATGTTAGTTTGTCTGCAACCTTATTGGTTTCTCTGTAGCAATGTCTCACTACTACTGCTTTGTCATTAAACTTATAATATTGGTTTCTCTGAAAATAATGGATGATTATGATTTTGAATTGTGATTTTTGTTATATTGACCGACTTAATTATGTATGAGTCGAGTTGACTTGCTGACTGCTGTTACTTGATTGGAGCAACTCTAGTTTCAGATAAACCAATATGTGTATTTGTTATATTTTCAATGATCAATTTCATTATTGTTAATTAATATTAAAAGACGAATTCCTTAATATGTATGAAAACAACCAAAAAATCAATTAAAATGGATCGGAAAGAGTATTACTACTATATTCTTAAATAAAGTGTTATTACTACGTAATGTCTTTCTAAAATAAAGCGTCATATCCTCCATCCTAGTGTATTTAGAAATAGTTTGACTTTAAAATTCTTATTTTATTCTCCATGAGATGATTTGAGCCACACAAATACTTATAGATTGTTTTAAATTCAAAATCGTATTTTTAACTCTGTGCTCAGTCAAATAACCACGCCTAAAATAAGACAGAAACTTTTTTCTTTTTTGTAATAAATAGTATATTTTACGCCTTCATTTGAAGTATGAACTTATTGGATTAATCGCGATAAGTTTGACTCCTCTACTTATCAACCTTTATCATACTTGAGAGGAGTGGTCACGATCCTACTAACTACACTTCAAATTTAAACCACCCACTTTGGCACCCGTGTTCTATAACATTGCATATCTTGAAACTTATATTGCACGAGAAAGAAGAAGAAAAAAATATTGCACGAGAAAGAGACAATAATGGTGACCGTCATTATAGGAAAAGTCTTACCTATGTGAGTCAAAGTTCAAACAAATACTACTAGCCGTCTTTGTTTTTTCTTCTTTTTTTTTTTTTTTTTTGCTAAAGCTTCTTTGGTAGGAGAGTGTTTTGCCAACAAAAGAAATCATGTGATATAGAATTGACCAATGTAACACACTCCAAGTGAATCTCACATTGACAAAAAAACTAGAGAGATATTGGGTATTGAAGGAAGAAGTTCCATTAGATCCTAGTAATGCGTTTTAAAGTCGTAGACTGAAAGCGAACAATATCATTAGTAAGTAAGTCTTTCCATTGAGTTTAGACAAATCTCGCATCTTTGAGATAATTGTGCGGTAAACCTTAGCAAGGAATCCTTAAAGGGATATTGCATATATAATTCAAACTTGAAATAAGTGGAAAATGTTTTCAATAAAAGATGTTCAATATATGTTATATATTTCTAAAACCTAATATTTTACCTATATACAATGTAACTTTTTGACGAAGGGCGGTCAATTCGATAGGTTGTAGCTCCGCCCCTACTTTTAAGCCTCAAAATGGACAATATTACTTGTGGACTAGGTTGTTAAGTAAGTCTACACTCTCCAAAAATGTTCTCACCCCGTTCAAATAGAGGCACAAGGTCTGAGTTTTATTAATGACATGCTTTAGTAATATAGCTAAACCTTTGCTATTTTAAGACTGCTACAACTCTTAGGAAGTCTTCTCCTTTTCGCATGATTGTCGGAGGGGAGAAAGAGACTTGGATATTTTTGTTCATTATGATGCATATAAATATTTTCTCTATTATATAAATCAAACTATAATATTAATAAATTAGGAAATTGCATAAGTTGCTACATTTTGTATGTGTTTCTTNCCCCCCCACAAACTAAGAACAATTATCATTCTCCTCGATCCTATACAATATCTATGTTGCCCTTGTTATTTTCAATCCCATCCTCAATCCTTTTTTATTGTATATGCTACTTTTATGATTTAAATTATGTTATATCTTATTATAAATTAAAATTAAAATTTATTAAAATTATAAATAGAATAGTCCTTTTTATAAATTGTCACAAAATCTATCATACTTTTATGGTTTATATTTGATATAACGCGCATTAAGTATATCTCTAAGTTACATTTTTTTGGTGTTAAATAGATAATTTTTTAGAAGTTTATTATAAAATCTATCTTTATTTTTAATAATTAGAAGATTTTGTATTACATGCATTGAGCATATATTTATTGGTTCTCACAATTTTTTATTCTCGATTGTGTAAAAAAAGATTTAAATTTAATTTCCATTAATAACATTATTGATAAGATTAAATTATTTTATTTTTATTTTTATTTTTCTCATCGTTTTTATTATTCAACGTCATTACATTATATGCTTGTTTATTATTTTTTACTTTTTTCAATTTAAAAATTAAATTTAGTTGTTATATAGGTACATAGCATAAATATTAGAAAAGAAAAAAAATATCATGATGCTA